CATAAAATATGTTCCACATCTATTTCAATATTTTATGACAACTATGTGACTTGTTGCTTAAACTGTAGGCCAAAAAGGTACTTTCCCCTTAAACAGGATGTACACAATGCGCCGTTTTTTTAAGTTTTAGTACATGCGTTAATGCCGATTTGCCAGGGATTATCTATATCCTACTGCAGTTTGCTTCCGGTCACCACCAATTTCTGCGAACACAAGGCCTGCTAATGATTCCACTGTCTCCAGCAGATATGGATACCCAAGCAGTTACAGGAGGCTGGTACCTCGCATAAGGAATCAACTTACTATCCAGTGCTCCCTTCATGTCTTCGGTTTCTGTGCCGGCCATCACAGAGCTCCGTGTCTGATTCCACGCCGGTGCCGCTGGTTCGCAGAAGATGGACAACTCATCGGTGGAGGGTGGACAGACCACAATGCGGGGCACTTCCCAGACGTCCTCTTGGTCCCCGTTTTCAGGCCCCTCTTCCTCTTCCTCCTCCGCCTCCTCGATTCTCTCACAATCCCGAATGATTGGCTTCCCAGTGTAGTAGGCAATCAGGGCTTGAAGATAGGCCAGAGCGAGGATAGAAATCGTGAACTGGATGATTTGGAAGATCTAGAGGGAAAAGACTCGGAAGTAAACGAGAGAATTTTAAATGATCCCAGAGGTAAACAAATGTCTGATAGGCACTTTTGATGCCTGGATGTGGGGCAGGGGCGTTGATGCAGATGGATTTCCACGGGATAGCATTCACCTCAACAGACTTCCAGGAGAGAAGAAGACGATTCGATCGCTGGGCGACAACACTTTTATTCGCCTGACGTTTCGAGATCCATCGTGGATGCTTCCTCAGAGGCATGTGCAGAAAGCAGTTGCTGAAACGGGCCATGAGGCTACCAAGGGCTTGTCAGCATAGTCAGCGGGAGGCTGATTCCCGTATCCCGCAATCTTACCGATTGCAACCAAAGTGTACTAACTGGTGACGCTATTCGCTCTTCGTAAGGAAAATTTAGAGGTGAATGGCGACAGACATCAACAAAAGCTGCGTGATTAGTAGTAGGCGTTAGCGCCATTGTTGAAAGCCGCGATCGTTGAACCACCGCACCCCACTACTGTTGACGGCCTGCCTCGAGCCAGACGCCAACGGCCGCGGAGCGAGCGAACGCACGCACCCTGTCTCCCCTATTCTGGCCTCAACTCACAGTGACTTGACCTCAATCCGTCCAATGAGACTCCCGCTTTAGTAGACTGACCTTATTTGGTAGGTTGGCCTCAATCCGTAGGACACGAACGACGATGCGGTGTCTACCTCCAGGCACCACTTCGGACCACGCCGCTCTAGCGGAAGAACGTGCGCTCCGACAGTCAACACTTCGTCCTAACTATTCTCCAATTCATTCTGTAAGGAATATATTCTTCCTATTACTCTGGCCTTCCAAAAACTTTCCCAATTTCTTAGGAACCTCGTCCGGAAGATCGCAGCCGTTAGGGTTAAACACTCTTAGCGATAGATTTACCCTACTTAAAATATACAGTATGACCGATTTCAGTTGAACCGTCGATTTCGACGATGTCCACCGCATACTCCTCAGCGACCTCGTGCAGGGACGGTGATTTGCGCGTGAATTAGATTGAAGGGATAGTAGGCTTGTGCAGCATCTACCACATTCCCTCTCTCTTCACTTGCACGCCCGAGTCCGG